GACTGGTTTATTGCTGTTGATTTTGTTGGGGTGGGGGTGCGGGATGTAGGTGGGGAGTTGGGGGTGGGGGGGGGGGGGGGGGGGGGGGGGGGGGCAAGTTCAAAAAGAAAGATAGAAAAATGGCTGAATCTATGCATCTGCTTTGGATTCAGGTCCCCCCTCATTACTCAGTGGGAATAGAGAGCAGCTGCTATTGTCAGTAACTCCAGATTCTTTCATTGACTGCTGATTTAAGCAGTAGTGTCTCGCTGTTTGGGGGAGCCGTTTTACAGCTAACAGAGAGGCACCGTGCGACCGTCTGCTTTAAAAATGCATTTTTATCTGTGACCCTGCTCCAGGCGAAACGCGCTCACAGCATCGGGGTGTTTAATTCCAGGTGGCGGGGTTGTTTAGTGGTTGATCTGGCTGGTCTGGTAATGAAAGGTCACAGTTTTAGTCACGGCAAAAATAAACATCACCAGAATTCTACCTTTCAGATTTATCTAAATTTGTTTCATAATGTGATTACACGGACACACGGTTGCCTGGATACTTGACAGCTATGAAGGTGGACATAATGCAGACGCTGCATTCACTTTCACTACATGCATGAACACTAGCGTTCTACTTTTCACTGTCTCCTCAGTTTGTGATGAGAAGAACTTCCAGCAGAGCATATTCTCTCCCGCAGCTGAAACACAAAGGTGTTTTTGCACTTCTGTGTGTTCAGATGTCTGTTACCAAAATAACTTATACCACTTAATAAACTTTATCGAAACTTTAAGAAATTAATTAGGGATGCACAATATTGTATTTTTGGCCAATATATGATATTCCGATCTGTTAAAACCTATTTGGCCGATAACCGATACCAATACCGATATTTTTTCACCCCTAGAGAGAATACATAGCTTTCTCTGCTGTGGAATTAAAATACTACATTATATTCTGCACGGTCTTTATAATTTTGGCCTGCTACCAAATGCAGATGCCAAAAAGGGGGCTGAAAAGAATATAACACTATATAGATATATAATATATATTTAAAAACAGCACCTTTTATATCAGTGAGTTATTTTGATGGACTGGCCGATATTTAACTTTATCGCTAATATTGGCCGATACGATACCATGCTGATAATACCACGCATCCCTAAAATTAATCCATTGGATGTA